TGCACTTCAACGGGGGAATTCTGCACATCCTGCCATGCCTTCTGGTCTCGTGTGGTGTTATTTCTGTGTGCAGGTTTGGGGCCAGCCCATCTATAGTGACCCAAGTATAGTGCTTGTGTTTCCTTTCTCACCAATCACCTTGTTTCTCACCCACATTCCTTCATCTCTCTCATAAAGTACCACCATCACCACTACTACCATCACCACTACCACCATCACCACCCTCCCACTGCACCAGTCTGGCAGAGGAGCAACATTGCCGTAGCAGCTCTGGTGACCACTGCAGACCTTCAACACGCAACCGCTGTTGTTGTGCAAGACAAAGAATGTCAAACAGCATAACCGTATACTCTGTCCTATTTTGGTAATCGTTCTGACATTCTTAAGCGCTCTCTCTACCATGTATGTATGTATGTATGTATGTATGTATGTATGTATGTATGTATGTATGTATGTATGTATGTATGTATGTATGTATGTTCGTTCGTTCGTTCGTTCGTTCGTTCGTTCGTTCGTTCGTTCGTTCGTTCGTTCGTTCGTTCGTTCGTTCGTTCGTTCGTTCGTTCGTTCGTTCGTTCGTTCGTTCTCTCTCTCTCTCTCTCTCTCTCTCTCTCTCTCTCTCTCTCTCTCTCTCTCTCTCTCTCTCTCTCTCTCTCTCTCTCTCTCTCTCTCTCTCTCTCTCTCTCTCCCCAGTCAACAAAACATGTTCAAGGAATGTTGAATCAAAACTATTGATATTAAATCAACCTGAAATTAACATTATCAACATAAAGCCAATGCTATCGAGGTTGAATCAATAATATTGGCGTTGATTCCTATACCACATTTACGACAACAGAGAAGCCATTTGATTGTCGCAATAGGAGCCAATCATACTTAATGAGGGGCATGAGAGTTCGACCCCAGCTACCCCACTAAGACACTCGCTATATAATCACAAATCATCGTGAAAAGTTACATGAAAGTTTCCACAGCCGACTGACCTACACCCCCCCCCCCCCCCCACACACACACACACACATTCTCTTTTCTATAGATGAAAAAGAATGTCTGTTTGTGCAAGGTTGGAGACTAGATGCTTGGAACTATCCTCACCCTACTTTGCAGGGTAACTGCTGATAGGACGAGGAGGGAAGGGGGGTGGTGACTGGCATAGGTTCCATGGGGCTTCACGTGAAGTCGGTGAAGATTAAAAGTGGTGTAACGAGTCTATAGAATTTAATCATTTCAAGCAACATTGGAACACAGGAAACTCTTTAGAGCGGGACAGCAGGAGGGCACCAGCTTCCTGGGTAACCGCCCCAGACGTCCCCCTTAACCCACTGACCATGATATGCTAAAAAGCTACAGAACATGAAATCTGCCTGAACTCGATAGGAATTTGGAGGCACCGAGCTGGTGCCTAATCAAATTTTTACATGTAACCCGCGTACCCTGGTGTAGGTAATGGACTCCTCCGTTATACCTGGAGCATACCTGGAGAGGGTTCTGAGAGTTCTACACTCTCCGAGCCCGGCCTGAGGCCAGGCCCGACTTGTTATAACTTGGTCCACCAGGCTGTTGCATGGAGCTCTGATAGGGGAAGAGAGTACTGAGCAGTACTCAAGACGGGACAGCACAAGTGATTTAAACAGTATTACCATTGCTGTGGGATCTCTGGATGTGAACGTTCTCATAATCCATCCTATCATTTTCCTGGCCGCCGCCGCCGCTATATTTGCTCGGTTATGTTCACTAAACGTCAGGTCGTCAGACATCATAATTCCCAGATCTTTTATATGTTACTTTCCTTCTATGATTGTGTCTGATTGTATTCTGTACCCTGTGTTTCGTTTAACTTCTTCGTTTCCATGTTATGTTGACTATTGTGATTGTTGACTACCGGTGGGTCTTCGTTAGGTTAGGGCTAAATACATCATTTGTGTGACAGGTTGAGATGACTCACTGGTTCTTGAAGGGAGGGGGTCTAGGTGGAGGATGGGATGGGGTCCTCAGAGGTGCATATGGGGTCTTCATGGAGAGCGTCTTCAAGAATCCAACACTCTAAACCCCCCCCCCCCCTAACAACCTCATCCTCCCAAACAATCCCATCTAACATCGTCCACTTACAGCCCCCACTTACAACCCCCACTAGCAGCTCCCCACTTACAGCCCCCACTTACAACCCCCACTAGCAGCTCCCCACTTACAGCCCCCACTTACAACCCCCACTTACAACCCCCACTAGCAGCTCCCCACTTACAGCCCCCACTAGCAGCCCCCCACTTACAGCCCCCACCGCCCCGCACCTACATTCCAAGTGGCTGTAAGTTATGTGTCGTTTTATCGTTGAGAATTAGAAGTGAGGCAGGGTGGAGGGTTGCTCACACGCAGGACGCTGCACGGGTCGCGCCCCGTCACCGCTGGCAGTCAACACGCAACACATCACCACTATTACGTCTGTCTAAAGGAGCCCAAGGTTGCCTTGCTGACCCAACCTGCTCCTCTATTTAAAAGTGGTGTCCTACGGCCTTGACACCATAACAGGGGTGTCCCGCGCCCGTGACACCACAATAGGGGTGTCCCGCGCCCGTGACACCATAATAAGGGTGTCACACGCCCTTGACACCATAATAGTGGTGTCCTGGGCCCTTGACACCATAATAAGGGTGTCACACGCCCTTGACACCATAATAGTGGTATCCTGGGCCCTTGACACCATAATAAGGGTGTCACACGCCCTTGACACCATAATAGTGGTGTCCTGGGCCCGTGACACCATAATAAGGGTGTCACACGCCCTTGACACCATAATAGGGGTGTCCCACGCCCGTGACACCATAATAGTGGTGTCCTGGGCCCGTGACACCATAATAAGGGTGTCACACGCCCTTGACACCATAATAGGGGTGTCCCACGCCCGTGACACCATAATAGGGGTGTCCTGCGCCCGTGACACCATAATAGTGGTGTCCTGGGCCCTTGACACTATAATAGGGGTGTCCTATTATGTCACGCCGTCTTGACACCATGACAGCCGAGCCCAAAACTCCCCCTCACAATGTTAAAATGTAAATAAATGTGAACAAAAAGTATATGTATTTCTGGGCAATGGTTGGAGAGCTGCCCGCCAAACACACACCGAAACTACGACGTTGGTACAACGTTCGAACAAGTTTTAACACCTCCTAACCAGTTATAACAACCAATATAGCAAGTTGTAACAACGTTCTAATACGTCATTAACACGTTAAGCCAAGATGTAACAACTTTATTACAAGTTGTAACAAGCGGAAAATAGAGACAGTTTCGGTTTGTGTTTCCAGGGTGATGCCTTGTGGAACCTATTGTTCTGTTATGAGTTTTAAGATCTGACCCCTTCTCATAAACTTCTAAATTATTTACGCCTCTGTAAAGTTTAAATGGTGCAAAGGGGAGGCTTAATAAAAGGGTCTTGTAGGTATTTTCACTAATAGGTCCATTAATTTTCGTAGCTTGATGGACGATAACGGAATTCCTGAAGGGTTATCCATATTACTTTCGTGACGTATAAGGCGGTCGTTGACATTCCTCACTTTTGGATAATTGGTTTCACCCGACGGGGTCCGTCAGCGGCCCCGGGATGGTCGACTGTCTAAACACGGGGAGGATTGACTGGGAACCAATCCTAAACTGTTCGCTCCCGGTTGCCCCTAGCAGTAATTGGGGACCTGGTTGTAAATAGATTGTTCCATATAAAATCTAGTGGAGTAAGATTTACCAAGCGTTATGGGAATGGAAAGTTTTAAACTTGTTATAACGGGAGTCAGAAGTGGTCTATGCGCTCCTGTGTAAAGAGACAGTCCTGTGAGGCGAGTGAAGGAAATGGTCACGCCGTAGCATCTGTACTGGACAGGAACGAGTATCCAATTATCGAAGGATCCTTATCAAAGCTCAGAACATACAATTTATGAAGTCATATTCTTTATAATGATCGAGTAACTCCATAAGGTTCGATATATAATTCCTCTGAGACCGCTCAGCAATATGGTTGAGGGTCAACAGCCCATATTACTACACACACACACACACAGATCACACTAACCTGATGCATCAAATGAACAAATCCACAAGGGCCGTGACGAGGATTCGAACCTGCGTCCGGGAGCATCCAAGATACTGCCTTAATCGACTGAGCTACGACAGGGTCAAAAGGGTTGAAAAAGGGTTTTTGCCCATATTACTAGTTAATTAACATCACAGAGGTGGAGTGCAATGGTAACACTTAGCCGGAGAGTTCTTCCAGAGGTCCACAAAACTTGAGACATCGTAATGAGACATACAGGAGTGACCGCTTGTCAGTATGTCATATAACCTTGTGTCAATGTGCTTACAGATGTTCAGAGGCATGCTAATAAAATATATTCTCAGAAAATGCTTTCACTGATAGACAATTAGTGCATCAAGACAGTCTGTCCCCCCATGAACTGACGTCACACAGCCCCATGGCTGCGTACAGGTTGCAAACTTGTCACTGTCTCTGTACTCAACCCATCAGTACTAAATGATGAGCAACAAAAAGAGGTTCTTTGCACTGACATGGTAACATTCAACTTGTCACCCATATCTCTCTCGATAACGTTGGGTGGTGAAATTAGCACATTCTCTCACGTGAAAATCGTCTTGGCGAATGTCCTTGCGTATGTGTTATATCTTGAGGTTATCTTGAGATGATTTCGGGGCTTTTTAGTGTCCCCGCGGCCCGGTCCTCGACCAGGCCTCCACCCCCAGGAAGCAGCCCGTGACAGCTGACTAACTCCCAGGTACCTATTTACTGCTAGGTAACAGGGGCATTCAGGGTGAAAGAAACTTTGCCCATTTGTTTCTGCCTCGTGCGGGAATCGAACCCGCGCCACAGAATTACGAGTCCTGCGCGCTATCCACCAGGTTACGAGGCCCCAGCATGAAAAAGTGTACTGAAATATATTCTAAATATGCCCTAGAAAACATTAAGGTAGGAACAAGAGAGGAAGGTGAGTTACCTGGTGAGGTGTGGAGGACGGTGCTGGCGCCGGGGCTGAGGTAGACCGGGTCTGCGGAGCTGGAGCCTGCACGCCCCTCGCCCTGCATCCTCACCAGCTGCCCCAGTGCTGCCCACGGTGACTCCGCAGCCTTCAGCTCCTTCTCCGGGGAGATCACTAGCTCCGGGGTCACGGCTCTCCTGGCACCAGTCACCGCGGGTGATAACGATGGGTTCCCCCGCGTCCGGGCTGCCTCCTGCTGCTGCTGCTGTGTCTGCTGCTGCGGCGCCTGCTGCTGCATGGCCGCCCCGCCCTGCTCCTCGTGCCCCGCCTCGGCCTGGCGTGCCCCATCCGGCTGACACTCGGCCCTGCTGCACAGTGCCCCACTGCGCAGCAGCGTCACCAGCCGACCCAGGAAGGTCCGCGCCGCCCCCAGGAGGCTACACCCGTCCTGCTGTGCCTCCGGCGCGGGGCACAGCACCTGCTGCTGCTGCTGCAGCAGGTGCCGCTGACTGAAGGGCACGTGACCCACCTGCTTCTGGAGGTCCCCGACGGACAGGTGCTGCAGGGGGGCGTCCCGGGGGGGCCGGACCCCGCAGGTGCTGAGGGTCAGCTCCGGCTTGTGGTTGAGGCAGATGTCGGTGATGATGACGTCATTGGGGCCCGGCGCCCCCGCCTCCCCCCGCACGGTCCACACGCGGTCCGGCTTCTCGGCTTCCGGAGACCTGCCCAGCCGGGTGAAGCGCTCCGGCAGCTGCCGCAGGTGGAGGGGGCGGGGCGAGGGTCGGGCCGGGGGGGTGTGCATGCCGGGGGGCGGCGGCGGGGGGCGGCGGCGCGCCCCCGGGGCGGTGCTGGGGTGGCGCACATCCGGCTGGGGGCCGCCACGGACAGCACACATGGGATCACCATCCGTCAGGGCCCCGGCCCGCGGCCTCTGCTGCCCCCCAGCCCCCGTGCCCCAGCAGCAGCCCCGCCCCGCACTGCATGACCCGGCCCCACCCAGCTGATGACGTCACAGCCGCCCCCGCCCGCCTCACCCCATCACGCCGCCCCGCCGCCGCCGCCGCCCGCCGCCCACCCGCGCCCCGCCGCCACCCGCGCAACCAGTACCTCACTCCCGCCACTCTTACGCGCCTCGCTCGACACCTCGCTGTCTCCCACGGCTGCCAGTCACCGTGGGAGGGCCCAGCCGCCGTGGGAGGAGAGGGGGTCAGCGTGGAAGGAGCGAGTTACCATGGGAGGAGTGGGTTAGCGTGGGAGCTCCGAAGGGGGCGAATTAGCATGGGAGTGAAGCGTCGGCATGAGAGGTGACATGAAAGTGAGCACCGTGGGAGAAAATGTAGGGGAGACGGCCAGTGAGGGATCACAATAGGCAGCAGCAGCAGTGGGAGCCATTTGCGCAGCAGCGGCCCGCAGACACTCTGATCCAGCTGTCCCAACCTCTCATCTTGCTCAATATCACTCTCAACACTCACGTAAGGCAGCTCAAGTAGCACTTCGTTGCTCCAGCGCACATCTGCACCATCTTCTGCAACAAGAAAAAACAGACGAATATTAACGTCCGCACCACAACTCAAAATTAGCGCGGAAAGTCACACCGCGCAGACAACAGTATGAATCTACCGGTAATTATCCCCCCCCCCCCCACAGGCAGACAACAGTATGAATCTACCGGTAATTATCCCCCCCCCCAGGCAGACAACAGTATGAATCTACCGGTAATTATTCCCCCCCCCCCCCCCCACAGGCAGACAACAGTATGAATCTACCGGTAATTATTCCCCCCCCCCACAGGCAGACAACAGTATGAATCTACCGGTAATTATCCCCCCCCCCACAGGCAGACAACAGTATGAATCTACCGGTAATTATCCCCCCCCCACAGGCAGACAACAGTATGAATCTACCGGTAATTATCCCCCCCCCCACAGGCAGACAACAGTATGAATCTACCGGTAATTATCCCCCCCCCCACCAGACAACAGTATGAATCTACCGGTAATTATCACACAGGCAGACAACGGTATGAATCTACCGGTAATTATCCCCCCCCACACAGGCAGACAGTATGAATCTACCGGTAATTATCCCCCCCCCCCACAGGCAGACAACAGTATGAATCTACCGGTAATTATCCCCCCCCCCCACAGGCAGACAACAGTATGAATCTACCGGTAATTATCCCCCCCCCCCCACAGGCAGACAACAGTATGAATCTACCGGTAATTATCCCCCCCCCCCACAGGCAGACAACAGTATGAATCTACCGGTAATTATCCCCCCCCCCCCAGGCAGAGAACAGTATGAATCTACCGGTAATTATCCCCCCCCCCCACAGGCAAACAACAGTATGAATCTACCGGTAATTATCCCCCCCCCCCCCCACAGGCAGACAACAGTATGAATCTACCGGTAATTATCCCCCCCCCACAGGCAGACAGTATGAATCTACCGGTAATTATCCCCCCCCACAGGCAGACAACAGTATGAATCTACCGGTAATTATCCCCCCCCCCACAGGCAGACAACAGTATGAATCTACCGGTAATTATCCCCCCCCCCACAGGCAGACAGTATGAATCTACCGGTAATTATCCCCCCCCCCACAGGCAGACAGTATGAATCTACCGGTAATTATCCCCCCCCCACAGGCAGACAACAGTATGAATCTACCGGTAATTATCCCCCCCCCCACAGGCAGACAACGGTATGATAGAACAGTAATTACAATGATAATCTAAACTTAATATACGAGGTAGTTTAACTGAAGACTGTTTTAGGTTATTCTGCTTTTGATCCTTAAGTTCTATTTTAAGTTTGTTGACAATAGTGGTTAGATATTATACAAGAGGCTACAATGAGATGACAGTAATGGAACGTAATATGCCAACGAAATAACCCTTCGGAGTAGAGCAATTGGGTAAAGCCTCTGTTAATTTTTTGTTATTATTTTGCACCCGAGGGACGAGTTTATTGGGCAGCGCCACTCATCCTGTGAGTGGACACACCGCCATAGTGACAGTATTGGGCAGCGCCACTCATCCTGTGAGTGGACACACCGCCATAGTGACAGTATTGGGCAGCGTCACTCATCCTGTGAGTGGACACACCGCCATAGTGACAGTATTGGGCAGCGCCACTCATCCTGTGAGTGGACACACCGCCATAGTGACAGTATTGGGCAGCGCCACTCATCCTGTGAGTGGACACACCGCCATAGTGACAGTATTGGGCAGCGTCACTCATCCTGTGAGTGGACACACCGCCATAGTGACAGTATTGGGCAGCGTCACTCATCCTGTGAGTGGACACACCGCCATAGTGACAGTATTGGGCAGCGCCACTCATCCTGTGAGTGGACACACCGCCATAGTGACAGTATTGGGCAGCGTCACTCATCCTGTGAGTGGACACACCGCCATAGTGACAGTATTGGGCAGCGTCACTCATCCTGTGAGTGGACAACGCCATAGTGACAGTATTGTGCAGCGTCACTCATCCTGTGAGTGGACACACCGCCATAGTGACAGTATTGGGCAGCGTCACTCATCCTGTGAGTGGACACACCGCCATAGTGACAGTATTGGGCAGCGTCACTCATCCTGTGAGTGGACACACCGCCATAGTGACAGTATTGGTCAGCGCCACTCATCCTGTGAGTGGACACACCGCCATAGTGACAGTATTGGGCAGCGTCACTCATCCTGTGAGTGGACACACCGCCATAGCCGCATGTACAAATCTGTTATCATGAGGCACCCCCTCCCCCCCCCCGTCCCCCCTTTAAACCACCTGGATAGTTATCTAGATATCTGTGATGGTCTGAAAGCATATTACGGTTCCAGTAATTAGTCTACATGTAATATATATATATATATATATATATATATATATATATATATATATATATATATATATTGTGACGATAATCTCCTTCAAGAGATTGAGCCTGCTCTTCCCTCCAAAATTACGTCTTCACAATTATATAAAAGACTATGGAAGAAATGTCCAACAACGACAACAACACCAGCACCAGCAAGGCTTGCCAGGGTGAGCAGAAACGTATGCAACCAGCCACCTGTTCGAACTCCAACCACCAAACTACCCGTTGATCGCTACGACTCCGCTGATTGGTCGCCGGTCTGGCTGCACCTGCACTCGCCCCCCAATACTACCCGATGTCTGGGGTCGCCCCAACATCAGTCTTCAGAATGTTCCGTGCTTTCGTAGCCAGCACACCTCCCAGCTAGACTCTAGAGTGTACTGAGAGAGGTGGTGGCTTTAAGCCAATATTCCAGCACCTCCCACTTACTGTTGTATTGCACTTCTTGTTATTTTGCCTTAACGTAACTTTTCATTGTGTCATTTAAGTATTCTTATTATTTTGATTCATTGATTTTATTATACATATTTGTTTGTCCATATTTTCATGTTTTGATTTATTTAACGTAATTAAAATTTCATTGTTAAAGTTTACTTGTGTTTTGTGTGTCTTCTCCTTACCTTACCACAGACGAAGTTCCAGTTTTTCTATTTTTTTTTATAACTATGTGACGAGGCCATACCCCTAGCCTTAAACAGCCGAACACCAACGCGTTACCGTCACAAGTTATATGGGGGCCTGTCCTAGGAGCCTCACTCAGGTACTGGTGCCAAGTGGTAATTTATGGTAAGCGTATTTAACTTTGTTAACGTAGCTTTACTATTTTTCATTCAATTTCATTTTTTATAAGGTGCGGTGTATTGTGCATTACGAGAGTAACATATAGTGAAGGTGAGACAACTTTGGATTACGTGGTGACTGTAGGCCTCAGTCATACTCTTAATTGGTCATCTCTCCCTCCATGTTATTACTCGTATTTACCATCTATGTCCCTTGAATATTTCTCATTCTGACAGATCATCATATTGGTACCCTGGTACTGTGGTCTGCCCCGGGTCAAGAGTACCCAATCTTCTGCAATCTGACTGTAGGAGGACAAAGAGGGCCATAGTTCCTCTAGCTCGAACTTTAGTTGCTGAATTGGGACCTCAGCAGCAGTTCTCGTCACCAGTTGACACCTCGCACCCCTACACGTCAGTCAGAGATGATGATACATACAACGGTAGGGAATTAGCTTATTTTTTCAGAGCACAAAAGTTCGCTAATTCTGTAAGTATCATATTAAATTCAGTGGGAAAAACTTGCTTTATGTCCTATAGAGACTTGGCAAGGTATGCCTACATCCTTGGACTACCAATTTTACTTTTGAAGCATTTAACTGTTTCATTTGTTTTCGAAACTTTGTTTCATTTGTTAGTAGGATTTTCTTGCCCTTATTCTCTTACATGAGTACCGGGTACAAGATTTCCTGCGCCCTTGATTTAATTTAATCATTTAATATCTTTCACTTAACGTTAATTGTTAAAGATCACACAGGATAGGTACCAGTTGCCACGTTGTCCTGTTTCTGACATTTCATTATTGAACATTCGTGTACCTTTATTTGCTAATTTCACCATGTTTCGTCTCCAAACTTTCCGTGCAAATCCAGCAGGTGAAATAGGGACTTTAAGTCGTGCCAAGAGGACTGAACTACAAACTCTTGCACATGAGTATCAACTAGAAGTTCCCTACCAAGCCAACAAAAATGACCTACACAACCTGTTGCTGGATTACTATTTAGAGCAAGGTAAGATAGACTCTGAAACTCATGAAACTTACTATATTGCAGATAAAACTGACTTGGCAACGATGAAACTTAAACTAGAGCTGGCCAAGATTGAACGTGAGCAGCAAAGGGAAGCCCTCGAACAACAAGAACGAGCTGCTGCCATACGAAGAGAAGAACAAGAACGAGAAATCACCCTCAGAGAACGTGAAGCTGCTTTGAGAAGAGAAGAACACGAACGTGGACTCGCCCTCCAGGAACGTGAGGTTGCACTACTCCAGGAGCGGGAACGAGTACAGCTTGAAACACTCCAGGAGCGGG